CACTGGTCAAATCTCTGGGTTCTTGGAGATGCCCGATTTCTTGAACAAATTCGCGGATCAGACAGACCCTGAAACAGGCGAGCGCGCTTTCAGCAACTGGAAGTCTGGCTTGATTGTTGCACTGCTGTCTATCGGTACCCTAATGGGTGCTCTAATCGCGGCCCCTATCGCCGACAAATTCGGTCGCAAATACTCCATCGTCTTCTGGAACATCATCTTTTGCGTTGGAGTCATCGTACAGATTACCACAACGAACATATGGTACCAGATCTCCCTTGGTCGTTGGGTCGCAGGCTTGGGTGTAGGCGCACTTTCGGTCCTTACGCCTATGTACCAATCCGAAACTGCACCTCGCTACGTCCGAGGTGCACTCGTGTCCTGTTACCAGCTTTTCATCACCCTCGGCATTTTCACGGCTTATTGTATCAACTACGGTACCAAGTCCGATGGTAGCTCAGCATCATGGAAGATTCCAATGGGCGTTGGTTTCATCTGGTCAGCACTCATGATATTCGGAATTCTCTTTATGCAGGAATCTCCACGATGGGAATACCGCAAGGGCAAGGTTGACTCGGCCATACACACCATCGCCATCACGTACGGTGTCCCCCAGGAACACCCGGAAGTCCAGCGCGAAGTCCGGGAGATCCAGGAGAAGTTGGAGGCCGAGCAAGCGGGCGGAGGTCACCACCCTTGGTACGAGATCTTTACAGGACCACGTATGGCGTATCGTGTACTTCTTGGAGTCGGTCTGCAAGCCCTTCAGCAACTCACGGGTGCCAACTAGTAAGTCGATACCGCACATTAACACACATCTTGTACTGACTCTCTTGTAGCTACTTCTACTATGGAACTACGATCTTCCAGTCAGTCGGTATTGAAGACCCGTTCGTCACTTCTATGATCCTGGGAGGAGTCAACTTTGGCATGACATTCCCTGGTCTCTACATCGTGGAGAGATTCGGAAGAAGACCCGCACTGATCACTGGAGGCTTGTGGATGTTCATGTGCTTCCTCGTCTTCGCATCGCTTGGACACTTCGCTTTGGATAACGGCGACGGTACTACGAGCCAGCCTGTCGGATATGCCATGATCACATTTGCGTGCCTCTTCATCGCTGGTTATGCTATGACATGGGGGCCAATCATCTGGGTAAGTTCTGGCTGCACGAAATGCATGTGAGACATATACTAACTTCGTTACCCCTGCAGGCTGTGATCGGTGAGATCTACCCTAGCCGATACCGTGCAAAGGCAATGGCTCTCGCAACGGCCAGCAACTGGACCTGGAATTTCCTCATCTCTTTCTGTAAGTCAATACTACTTCATCCATGTCTTTCTGCGACTGTACTAATACCACTCTCAGTCACGCCTTACATTACGTCTGCCATCGACTACAGATACGGTTATGTCTTCGCCGCCTGCTGCTTCACTGGTGCAGTCGTAGTCTACTTCTTCCTCTGCGAATCTCACGGCCGTACTCTTGAGGAGATTGACACCATGTACATTCTCCACGTTACCCCATGGAAGAGCAAGCACTGGTCTCCGACTCCTGGTGAGGACCTACCAAACTTGGACAACACATTCTTGACGCCAGGAGGGAGAGGCATTAAGAAGGGCAACGAAGCGAGAGCCCCAGAGCAATTGCGGAGGGAGAGTGTGCCCGTCACCGAAGCGGACATGCACGCAAGTGGTGCGAGAGGAGCGGAGTAAGCATCGCTATTTTGACGATTTGAGCATTGGTCCTTGTTTTGTGATCTGTTTACTAGCAAGTACCATAGCGTAGCATAGCCTTTATACATCATCCTTTTCTCTTCACCTGACCACAATACTTCCATTCCACCACCAACGTGTCCGCCATTCACACCGACTGACAACTCACCCTGTTCCAACACACAGTGCTCTCGTTCGACAGGGTTTACAAAGCAATGGTACATATGCAAAAAAGCAAGTCAAGGGGCAACGCCAAAAAGATTCGAGGGCATGCATTTCCCTGCACGCCATCACACTGTCAAGGTTCACGCAAGCGCAAAAAGAAAGTTCGAAGAATCCTGAGCGAGCTCAGGCACGTTGTCCCCTTCGTGGATCGAACACGATACCTCCAGATTTAGTGACTGAGACTTCAGTCTGGCGCTCTCCCAATTGAGCTAAGGAGACGGTTTTTTGATGAAGAAACTTCGAGCTCAGCTATTCATCATGCTGGCAAAACGCACCTGGAGCTGCATTGCTGCAGTGAGATCTTTGCATCTTCCATCGAATCATTTCCAGAAAAGTGGCGCGCTTGGTAGATCCATCTGAGTGGGTCAATTCATCCGGACCGAAGCGTGATGGAAAGGCACCGCGACCGAGAAAACGTAAACACGCAGGGGCGCTTCGGCTTGGCGCGGATGTAACAGTGTTTGGTGACATCATTGTTTTGTGATTCAATCCACACCTGATCACCAGGTTCCCATTAGCAATTGTCTCTACACGTCGTCAGATCTCATTCTGCGTCGCCATATCTCATCATACAAGCATGGCGATTGTGGAGAATTGGCTGCCGCCGTCGCGCGAGAACTGGGAGCTGATTTGCTGGATCTGGCAGTTCTTTCCTGTTGTAAGCACACACCCGACAGATTGCTGGGCACCGTGCCGCGACCCAGTGCCACTTGATACTGTCCTTACTAACCTTGTTGGTGAACAAAGATTACTGCGGCGCAATGGGTTCTGGACTGGTACCCACAGGGCAAGACGTCGATTGAGTCGCGTTTCAACATCGATGGCAAGATAGGATGGGCGACCATGGAGTCGGCAGGCTTCATAACCCTGCTGTACATCATGTTTACGCTCCCGAAAGAATTGGGGCTTGAAGAACTACCGTTGGGTAACTGGACCATGGCTGGATGCTTTGTGAGTATATTGGAGGCTCTACAGAAACTGTGCTGATCAGACTTCAGGTCTTTCACTACCTCTACCGCGCAGTTATCTCACCCCTCTTTCTCAATCCCAGCATGTCGCCAATGCACCCGTTTGTTTGGATCATGGCATTTGGGTTCCAAATGTTCAACGCCATCTCCATTGGCGGCTACCTCGCGGGCTACGGACCAACATCACGAGACGAGTGGGCAGCGCGACAAGAGTACATGTTTCTAGGGCTCGTGATCTGGTGCTGGGGACTTTTGGCCAACATGTTCCACGACGACGACCTGCGTGAGATCCGGAGATCAGCAGACCGCAAGCAACGCAAGGCAGCCGCTGAGCAGGGCAAAGCCGTGGAAAATGTGGACAAGGTGTACATGATACCGAAGAACGGCCTGTTCAAGTACTCGCTGCACGCGCATTACCTGTGCGAGTGGATTGAGTGGGCAGGGTGGTGGATGATTGGGGGCTGGCAGTGTGTGCCTGCACGCACGTTTCTTCTCAACGAGATTTCTACTATGCTTCCGCGCGCGTTGCAGGGCAAGCGGTGGTACGAGAAGAAGTTTGGTAAGGATAAGCTGCAAGGGCGCAAGGCCATAATTCCGGGCGTGCTCTAGCCAGTTCGCAGACGATGCTCTGATACGCTAGTGATCAAGCTTCTGGCGTTCCGCAGTCAGAGAGTGGACGAGTGATAGATGTGGCTTCCGCAATCTAGTGAAGAATGAAGCGGTGCAGCATTAGCAGTAAGGGGAAGGCGCAGGTGATGGTACACTAAGCATGACAGTGTGGAGTGAGCAAGGCAGCGAACTGCGACAGGGTAATGGTGTCTAATCACACGAGAATTGGTTGTTTTCACAAGATAGTTCGGTGAGAATTTGTTTGTCACTAGTGAGCGCGCAGGTGGAGAGACGAACCCTGCGCTCGGCAGCAGCAAAAGCAGATGACGAGATACGAAGACAGGTGATGAAAAGCGCGCATCTAGTGGTGGTGTTTACGACGTGCTGCCTCGTAAGATAGCAGTAGCTGCATCAGTTGCGAAGCCACAGTGCGCTGTCCGTACAGTAGAGCAGACGGGAGGTTGTGTGCCGAGGGTACTCTGGCCGTCTTAATATAGAGTGGCACGCCACGGAGCCAATGACGGGCGCACGGGCTGCGAAGAACAGGAAGCTCGCTCAGAACACGAGCGGATGATGTTATTGCGACTGGGGTGGTGGAGAAATTTCAGCCCAGGGCCTGGCGGATGACGGCATGCACCGGCCAAGGCAGCGAGGAAAGGCGCATTATCGCGGCGCTGTGCAACGCAGGCGATTCGGTGTTTTGCATGCAGCACAAAGGGAGCAAGCGATCTCAAGGGGCCGCTGTGCCAGATTTCGCATTTCAGACTCCAGACACACACAGCCACGCCCATGCCGCTTTCGTCGCTAGCCGGCTCAGCAGTTATGAGCTCCCCCTTTGGGACCGCGGCTAGTCAGCGAGGGTGCATTAGAAGCTGCATTAGACACCCGCTTTTCCGTGCGAAGCTCCAAGCCAGTCGCTGCTGGATGCAACACCAGGAGCGGCATCAGGCCTTGGCGTGGGCGTGGTGAAAAGCTGCCAGGCCCGTCGCGTCTGTCGCTGCGTGCGAGCTGCGACGGTATTGTTTCACAAGAGCCAGAGGCCGATCGCAATCAGACGCCAGACCGCGAATCCCCCCAATTGGCACGGGCGGCAGGGTAAAGCAGCAAAGCAGCGCGCTTGTGGTTGTTGGGCGCTTTCGGTTCGGCAGCTCTATCAACAGGTGCTGGCTGGGGTCGCCTGTCCGCTGCCGTGCAGGTCCACTAACCTTCGTGCACAACCTCGCCCGCCGTCGATTGGCAACCCAAGAGCCTCCGTCGATACATCATCACTGCGGACCCACGGCGGAGACACGAGATCGCCGCGCCTGCTACAGCCCGCCAGCGGTACCACGGAACTCTAACTTCCTCATCTCCAGCGAACCTCTCCCCTTGCTGACTGTCCGACCTCCCTCGCGCGGCACCTCTTATCCGTCTTCGCGTCGCCGTCGTCGTCGCCTCAGTCGCTCCTTGCCACGCCCGTCAGCTGCTGGCTGCCATTGTCGCCATCATGTCCAGCAATGTGACCGAGAGTACGTTGTCTACTTCCATTCTTTCTCCCTCCTCTGCACCCGCTGCCTCGTCCGCGCCCGCTGCTACGTCTGCCTCTGCTCCTCCTGCCTCTGCCCCATCCTCAGATCCGCCCTCGTCAGATCTTCCTTCGCCGTCTGTAACACCGTCCGCAGCGCCTGCGCCTACGGAGCCTTCTGCTCCCGCCGCCTCGTCCAGCCCGCCTGCAGACTCTCCTTCAAGTCCTGCGCCGGCTTCTAACACGCCTTCAGCGGCCGCGCCCTCCTCAGAGCCTCCTCCACCCGCCTCGAGCGCTCCTCCCGCATCCAGCGCCGCCCCAACCAGTGACCCGCCCGCCCAGTCGAGCCAGGCACCGCCGCCGGCTTCATCAGCGGCTCCAGCCCCATCAACGTCGGCAGCTCCTCCCCCAGCGCAGTCGAGCGCACCACCGCCAGCGCAATCATCCACCCAGGCTCCTCCTCCTGCTGCCACGACCAGCGCTGCACCAAGCTTCGTCGACACGAGCGTCTTCACTGCCCCGTCGGCTGAACCCTCGACCCAAGTAATCATCTCCACCGTGACACCCACGGCAGAAGGAGAGACACCGTCAGTGGTCACCGTTATCCGCACTTTTACTCCAGATTCTCCCACTGCAGCACCAACCAACAGCGCGTCCCCCTCTGGAACAGGTGCCGCTGACCCTGCCAACACCGACTCTACCCAATTGCAGAATGCACAGAAGGAGAACGATGGCGGTCTCAGCACTGGTGGTAAGACTGCCATTGCTGTCGTCATTCCCGTTGTTGTCGTCGCTTTGCTAGTCCTAGCCGGCATCTTCTTCTGGCGCAAACGCAAGCAGCGCCAGAGTGCCGAGGACGAACGCAGGAAGGAAGTCGAGGAGTATGGCTTCAACCCTAACCACGACCCTACCCTTCCTGCGGTTGGTGGGTTGGCCATGGCTGAAGACGACAGCGGTTACCGAGGCTGGGGCAACACCACCACCAGCTCCAACCGCAAGATGTCCACCACTCTCACCTCTGGTATGACCTACTCCGATAGCAACAGCAACCCCGGCGGATACACCAGCCCACACTCTCCCACACACGGTGCCTACTCTGACGCTCACTCCAACGACCCGCTTGTAGACGGCCGTCGCCAGACCATGGACTCGGACGGTATCGGCGCCCTCGGCGTCGTCAACGGTGCTGCCGCTGCCAACTCTGCCAACAACCAGGCCGGTGTGCACCGCGGGCCTTCCAACGCTTCGTCGTCATACTCAGCAGCCAACCACTCTGACAACTCTGGCGACTACCCTGGTATGGCCAATGGTCACCCACAGGAGTACTACAACAACCAAGACTACTACCAGAACGGGCCATATGCCGCCAACGATCCATACGCTGCCCAACAACAGCCCATCATAAGAGACGTATCAGCACGACGGAACACGAGGATCGAGAACCCCAGTGTCTTCCCCCAACAAGGCAACTCTGGAATCGCGCAAAACTTCTAGTCGCACGCACTTGTTGTCATCGTATTTTTACATCCATCGCTACCTGTATATTGCGACTCTATCCTTACCCATTTCCTTTAGCTCTCACTCGACATATATCCAAACGGAGGCGTTCATCGGGTGGCCATCAATTCATTTTGCATCGTATCGATCTTCGCGTTTGTTAGTTGTACTGTTGTTGCATGCACATGCAAGTTTGCCCGCATGTATGCCGGAAAACCCTTCCGCATGCCCCACTCCACATAACGGGGAGTCTTCTTCGGAAGATGCGGAAGCTTACACTGCTGAGACATTGATCGATGGGCACAACAAACAAAAGCACGAGCGTTTTTGAGTCTGGACCAGCGCAGCATGCATATCTCACTACGCGTCGATTTGTCGGCAAGGATTCAAGAGGTGGGACCTTTTTGATTCTCTTGGATCTGTGTGGGATGATGCATGCTGGCAGCTTTTTTCCTTGTCTTGTCACCTTTCTCTATCACATTGATGCTGGAATCTCGAGGATTGACGCTTTCTCACGCGACCAATATAGTACTCTTGTAATTAGCCAACGCCTTTTCTCCATCACCATCTTTTTACCATTTAACACGTACGCCAATTACTTGGGCAAACTCTTTTTCTTTTACATGCTGGGGCCCACAGATGACGTTGGAGGTCTCTATCTATATAGGTACAGAGAAAATAGATTGACACCAAACTTTACACAAGTCTTTTGCTCACTTCCCCGTGTTTCAACCAACACTACCCGATGGGGAATATTATATCCATCATGTTCATCGATTCTGGATATTCCCAAATCGCTTCTTCGATTATACATCGTACTCGATCTGACCCTATTCCACTGCAAAACAAAGAATGTGGTTATCTGTCCTCGCCCAGCCACTCGTGTGCTTGGGGTGTACGCGGCCCGACAGCAGGTCTGTTTTGATCTAGACCTAGACCACTAGCTGGCAGCGGCCGGCAAGTAATGTTGAGAGACTCCGGTTCGCTCCCAACGCGTCCGCTAGTACACAGTAGTCAGCAGTAGCTACGTAACGTAGCATGCATGCTGCATGCCTGCTTGCGAGGCTGTACATGCAACGTAGATCTTGCCCCGACCCCGCGGTCAACATCCTGCCGAACCGTACCAAACAGTTTGTGATATGAGATGTTTGTGCGATGCAGCCTTGCAGGTAGGGTAAAACAAGGGTCGGCACGGTTGCCTCCCTTCTTTCCCCAAGATATTTCCATGCGGGTGAGCAGTCATCCTTCTGCTTCCAGAGAATGAGTATATCACTCGGCGTCCCCGGGCTGTCGGTCAGAGTACGCATGTTCTCTGGTGTCATTGCGGGGTTCGACGGTGGAGTTTGGTTCAACAGCGGGTTGACTAGAAATATGAGCTACCCGTCCTGTTCCAGACTTCTGACTGGTTGCGCGTCACAATTATGAGGGAAAAAAGAAGGTCGGCCTACTTGGCATGTGTAATAATAGTAGATGGACGGCGAGGTCTACATACTGTGTGCTGTATGAGTAATCGTTTCTGCAGTGTATTGTAGACGTGGGTGTGAACACATGTGCGTGGATAGCAAGCAGGTGTAGTTCATCATGGATAACCCCGTCGGTAGGCTTGCAGATTACATACATACAATTGGAACTACAGATACAACCTTCCCAAAGCCGCATTATCTTAAATCACCTCTACCCTTGGGTTTGGCGAGATTGAATCTAGCCCTCTTCCGCATACTAGCAGCTTTACCAGGCTCTGTAATCCTGGGTTTAGACTTGTCTAAGTCTATCATACTCTTGAAGACGGGCGCCGCTTGGGAGGTCTTGGCCGGCTTGAGCGCGACATCATCAACCATGGGAGGGGCGGGCTGGACAAGACCCAACCGTTCTTGGAGCTTCCTGTATTGGACTTCAGGGTCTTGTAGGTTGGCGCGCGGTGCTTTTGGCTGGCTATGAGGCACCTGAGGAGGCTCCGTTGCAGTTTCAAGATCGCTGGCTCGGTCTTGATGTGAGTCCAATTGTTCTTTGGTTGAAGAGACAGTAGTTTCAACAACAGAAGAGCCAGTCGCGCCAGAACGCTCCACGGTTGGAGAAGTTGAAGATTCAACTGGAGAGCCAGTCGCGCCAGATTGGACCGAGGTAACATCGTTCGTGGGTGCTACTTCGACAGCTTTGAGCGCCCGCTGCCACCAGTGTCGCTCTGCTTCAGCTTCTTGCTCCGCCCTCTCTAGCGCAATCGCCTCTTTCTGCAGCCTGCTTTTCTCCAGTATAGTCATCAACTTTCTCCGATCGACTACTTTCGCCAAGAATCGCAGTAAATCAGGGTCCGACTCGTCCTCGGCGTCAAGATGTGGTAAGATATCGTCGATTTGGTCGACAAGTTGGGCATTTGCATATCCTCGCATCATGACTCCCCAGGTGTACTTGGAAGGATCGGTACCCCTGTCGCGCATGATCTCGAAAATTCGTTCTGCCGCTTGTATCTGGCCTGTCTTGAAGAAAGCCTGCATGAAGATATTCCAGCTGTAGACATTGGGCTTTGCTGGGCCATTCGTCATGTCTTGAATGAGCTGAGATGCGTTTGCGAATTGCTGTTTTTGACAAAAGGCGTAGAGGAAGGCGTTCCAGATTTGCGGTTGCCGAGCCAATTCATTGAACGCCGGATGACCCCCCTCTTGCACGACCGACTTGAATTTGAGATATAAGTTGTAGACTCGCATGTTGCTAACTGCCAAGGCTGCTTGAATCTCTGTCTGCAGCATGATGTATAGCGTTACATGTGAAGGAGAAATGCGCACAGATTCTGGCGTAGATGAATCTTGTGACACTACGGCGTTCCCTAGGCTTGCGGTTCCGTAGCCAACGAATGGCTGGAGAGGCGCTATCGTGAAAAGTCTGGAATAAGAGTGCCATAGCATGGCCGAGGTCTGTTCGACGTTTCCATCAACTCTGTAGCGTACATACTGATAGTAGAGACACTCCGTTGCTAGCCAAGGGTCCTGGATATCTTGTGCTACCTCTTCGCAATACTGTGCAAATCTTTGGAAAAAGGCTGGATCATTTTGCATGGTACATCCATGGAGCATTATCCCGAATGTGTATTTGTCTGGCTGTAGGTCATTATTTTCGAAGGTGTTGTACACCTTGAAAGCCGTGGCATGATCTCCAGCTTCCATTGCGTTGTGTATGACGACATTGTAAAGAAGTAAGTCCATCTGGATACCCATGTTTACAAAGGCAGCGACGATATATGGAGTGTGGTGAAAGTCTTTGGTTGCAGCCATGCTCCTTCGCAGTATGACAGCGCACACCCAGCGAAGTCTTTGACGAGTCACAACAGACTCCCACGACTTAGCTGAATGTCGGCTTTTTAATGCCTCGAGGCATTTCAACGCATACTGCACTTCACCAGCTTGCCCAAATGCAGTGGCATAGTGTAGCACTGTATCGTAGTCAACGCGTACCTTGTGTTCCACGAGGCAATCGAACACTTTCTTCAGATCCTCTATCTTGGCCAGCTCGACAAGATTGTACAGTAAGTCTTGAGAACAGAGATCGGGCTTGCTAGATAACGTCTTGACAAAGACGTGCAAGAACGCCGGGACGAATTCGCGGTTGCGTGCTTCTAGGTCAGTACCCCAACTCTGGTCCTGATACAATCGGTGTCGATGAAGTTTGGAAAGATGACTGAGAGCGTCGGCAATAGCTTCTCGCTTCCGGCTCCAGGTACGTGTATCGTTAACCAGAGCTTGTATGAAGTATAAAGCGCGGCCAGGCTTACGGTCGAGGAGATAAATGAGCAACTTATGAGCGTAGGCTTTCCGCGTCGAGATGTCGAGAGCCTTCCACCTGTCCGATACTTGGCGCGGACTTGATTCGGTGTCTCCCGCAAAGAGCGTCCAACTCAATCGCGCACATCGTGGGTCGTGTTCTATAACGACGCTACGTGTGTTTCTCCGCAAAGATGCGTAGACGGGGCGATCCAGTGCCGCAAACGCGTATTGAAGCCCATTCTCTTTTGCAGAAGCGTCAGTCAGATCAAGATGCGTCTGGTTCCAGCTGACAAGGTTTGCCACGCGGCGTCGAAGGGATCTGTATCGGCCATCTTGGTCGCGTCTTGCACTCGAAAACGAGGCAGGTAGTCTAGAGACGTAGTTGTCGAGTCGCGCACGTTCCAAGGCGAGTTGTTTCGAATGTCTCTCGGCTCGCAGAGGTGTGCGTTGAACGGAGGACGAGGGAGCACGAGTGCGATTGGACTGTGCCCGACGAGCTCGAGGTCGTGAGAGCGTCTTCTCATCCGCTACGCCTTTGTTGCTGGATGTGGTCGTTACGTATGAGCGGGCATACTGGCGAGTGAATATCGATATGTCCGCATAGAGGCGATTGACAGAAACGTGACCGTTAGTTCTTTTGTTCCAATGGCCAGACGTCCGTAGGAGCCCCGCAACAGGAGCGTCTTGTGTCGGTCGCTTGCGACATGTTGGTATAGTTGTCTGTCGGGGGCTCGAGATTAAGTCCTGATCTTCCACCCTGCTATGTTCCTCTAAGCTCTTTGATCTATCCTTCTCTTTGTCCCGTGTTGTGCTAGGCCTTCCATGCTGTTGGCTGTGTACTTTCGTCGTCGATGACTGGGCGAAGACTCTCGGAGCGAGGAACGGCAGGATGGGAAAGTCGGCGCTGGCGATGAGGCTAGCATTGGGAACGCGAAAGCGGGGCATGAGAAGATGCAGGTGCTGTCGTCTTCACGGAGCCATGACGTGTCAATTGCAAGCAGCTGGTGAGGATGGCGAGGAGCACGAAAACTTGAGAAGGTGCGTGTTTGGTCAGAAGCGCTAACCGGAGAAGATCTTGGACTCCCGAGCTGTTCTCCGCAGCCACACGACAACCACGACGACTTCAGCAACCACCCAGCACACTCTCTGTTCTCTCCGCGCATTCTCAGAGGAAATTCGTGCACAGCATCACGTCATAGACCAGCTTTGGACACGTCCCGACCCTGCATGCAAGCACATTCC